CCGATAAAAAACATAACTATGTCATAGATAAGCCCGAGGTTGCACAACTGTTAGAGTAATGAACTTAACCCAGGTCTGCTAAACCAGCTTCCCCTCCTCCCTCTTTCTTTCCCTTTCTTCCATGGTGAAAATTCCAGACATACAAAAGAGAATATAAGGAATACCCAGCTATCCACTATCTAGCTTAAAAAATAAAACAAATTCAGCTGAAGCTTTCTGAGAATGTCCTCTTAAAAAATAAAAATAATAATAATAATAATGTGTGTGTGTGTGTGTGTGTGTGTGTGTGTGTGTGTGTGTGTAATTGATTTTAGAACCTGAGGAGGGGAGAAGGAGAGCTAGAAACATAGATCAGCTGCTTCCTGCACACCCCTGCTGGGGAGTGAGCCTGCAACTTGGGCATGTGCACTGACCAGGAGTTTAACCTGCAATCTCTTTGTATGTAGCGTGATACTCAACCAACTGAGCCACAACAGCCAGGCCTGAGGATGCTCTTTCTAAGATCATTTGCCAGGACCACAGAGGTTTATTCAGAAATATTTAGGAAAGCTTTTAAAAAGACAATGACTTGAAATTTTTACTTAAATTCCAAAAATGTGACAAAAAGAAATAAGAGAAGGATAAGATCTAAATGGGAATCGTATCAAAAGGTTGAAAAAGGAAGGATTCTTTAAAATAATAGAAATGAAATATTTCTTATACTAAAGGCCTGGCGCATGAAATTTGTGCATGGAGGGGAGTGTGTCCCTAACTCCAGCCTGTACCATCTTCAAACTGGGACATCCTTCTCACAATCCAGGACCCCTGGCTTCTAATTGCTCACCTGCCTGCCTGCTTGATTGCCCCTAACCTCCTCTGCCTGCTGGCCTGATCACCCCCAACTGCCCTCCCCTGCTGGCCTGCTTGCCCCCATCTGCTCTCCCCTGATCCAGCCTGGTTGCCCACAAACTGCTTGCTTCCCCTAGCTGACCTGATCATGCCCCTAACTGCTTGCTCCCCTGCTGGTCTGATCACCCCTAATTGCCTCTGCCTCAGCCCCCACCACCGTGGCTTTGGCTGGAAAGAAGTCGGATAGATGTCTGGTTGACCTGATCTAATTAGCATATTACCCTTTTATTAGTATAGATATGTCAAGTATGCTGGTAGGTGGGCTGGGGATTACAGAGATGCAGTCCCCACCCCTAAGGGGAAGAAATAACAGAGTAAGTTGAATGTTGGAGAGCTTTGATGGATATTTCCTGGAAAATGACACATACCCATTTGGCTGCTATAGTTGTATAATAGAAGTAAGACTTGATTTGCAAGAAGTGAAATTCAGTAACCCTGCATTACATAAAAAAAGGAAAGATATTCTCTCAAGCTGCTCTTTAACAGAGAAAGAAAAAGAAAAAAGAAAAAAAGTAATGAGTTAGTTAGGTTTTTAAAAATTCATTTTTAAACGTTATTCAGAAACAACTCAGGATAGTGTGAGTCTTGATAAGAAATCTGGCTTTCTATTGGTGATGGCTCCAAAGAAGATGTGTGTGAATGTGGAAGATGGCAGGCTGATATTACTAGTAGACAGTATCCTACCTAATAAAAGCCTAATATGCTAAGTATCCAATCGCCCGGTCCTCCATCCAACCAATCAAAGCACAATATATTAACGATATGCTAAGGCCACTCAACCACTTGCTATGATGTGCACTGACCACCATGGGGCAGACACTCCAACAGGTAGGTTAGCTTGCTGCTGGGGTCCTGCTGATCAGGACTGAATGATCCAGGGTTGGACATGCCCTGGAGCTTTCCTGCAATGCCTCCCAGTCCTGATCGTGCACCAGTGGGGTCCCTTGGCCTGGCCTGCATCCTCTCCCAATCCAGGACCTCTTGGGGGTATCAGAGAGCTGTTTTTGGCCTGATCCTGCAGGCCAGGCTGAGGGACCCTACTGGTGCACAAATAAGTACACCGGGCCTCCACTAGTACTTTATAATATGATAAGAAATGCCTAGACAATAACAAATATTTTAAAAGTCAGTTGGGCTACTAATTCTTGGGACCCAATTTTAAGTAATTGTATGTCATTACCTGTAAGCCTGGATTTGGCTTCTGGTTTCCTCAGGAACCTGAAGGTACTTTCTAGCAGATGTCTGTAGCATCCTTGAACATTCCAGAACACAGGTAACTTTGGAGCTGTGGGCAAAGTCAACATCACGAATTGCACTCCAAACTCAAGCCAGTGCCGGCTGCTGGAGCCAAGGCCGTGGGTCAGGTTGTACAGCCAGGCTCGGGTTTCATTGTGCATTTGAACAATGGAGCACCTGTCTCCGGGGAAGGGAAGGAGCAATTCATGCAACTACTGAGGGAAAGCTTGCAAATAAGTTCTGTTGTTGCTAGATGTTGAGCCTGCGTGGTTACCTTCACAGTAGCCTGGTAATGCTGTGGACCCTTGGAATACTTTGTTCCTGCCTGAATAAGGGAATAGGCTTTTTGCAAGTTGAGACCGATAGTTTAGTGATAATTAGTCATATCAGTCTGGTGTGTGTGTGTGTGTGTGTGTGTGTGTGTGTGTGTGTGTGTTATTGTTGTTTGTTTCAAGGAACAGGAGCTCCATGTCCAGGTGACTTAGAAAGAAATGTATTGGCTCACATACAGAGTACAGGATAAAACGAGGCATGGCTAACGAGTGTCTACATCTACTCTCCCCATCTCTGAGCTGGCTTCATTCTCTGTTTTCCTCTGATCTGGCTTCTTTTCTTATAGTGGCTAGACAGCCGCTAGAAACTCCATCCCTACATTCACACAATTCTAAGCCAGAGCTCAAATTTAACTCTCATTGAATTGACTTGGGTCCTGTACCCATTCCTAAGCCCACCACTGTGGCGAGAGGGAGAATGCAGTGACCCGGCTGCCATCCTGACTGAGTTTCCTGGCCCTGGAGTTAAGGGCAGAGCCCACACTGTTCCAGCCAGCGCTGCTCAAACGTCGTGGCAAAGGGTCTCTTTTTGTTTTGTTTTAATTTCGAAGTACAGGTTGATTCTCTGGCTCTACGCTGTTCAACAAGATGAATTCAGTGATCATACTTTCGACTGTGGTGGCATAACATTGTATGAAAGTTTAGAAATGCTTACCTGAATTTTGTCTTGAATTGATCACAAGCATGGCGGACCATCACCGGGAGAGCACATTGATTAAGTACTTCTCCAAACCACATGGACCAACAAAGAGAGATTTGCTTCCCTGAAGAGACTCTAGGGAAGTATGATCAGAAGAGGGACAGAGAGTGAATGCTGTGGTCCAGAAAGATGCCAACACAGTGCTTCATGAGCGATCTTTCTTTTGGAAAGGCCTCCTGGTGTTCAGGAAGTTAGGGCCGGAATTTGCTACCCTCAGTTCACCTCCATCTTCTGCTCAGCAGCCCCCCTTTCCCTTTTCCTCCCAGCCCGGTTTGAGTGAGTGAGAAGGGTCTGGCTTTCTTAACCAGCTGTTTCCTAGAGAAGCAAGCTGCTCCTCCGAGGAGACTTACCAGCCAGCGGCTACGAAGACCAGTCTATTGAGAAGGAGGTTAGGACATGTTGGTGCTCCATCAGAGCAGGATAGCCACGGACTTAAACTTCCAACTCTGCCCCCACACCGGCACCTTGCTCAGAGGTTATTCTGTGTCACTCAACAAACAGTTCATTCTGCTGGGAAGGGAACTCGGTAGCATGTTCTCTAAGGTCTGACCGTCCCATCCAAGAGGGAACATTAACTGTTGGCTGGATTAGAGGACTCTGGGATTAGGGGGCATAGAAACTTACACTGTAGCCTTCTGGAGTGGTGCTTGTTGTGATTGAAGCAAGGCTCTGTGCGTGTAGTTGTGCTTTTGTATTTATGCTACAAAATCACATAACTTTATTAGTATTATTTTAATAGAGAGGAAGAGAGAGTTAGAAACATCAACGAGAGAGAAACATCTATCAGCTGCCTTCTGCATGGCCCCTACTGGGGACGTGCCCGCAACCAAGATACATGCCCTTGACCAGAATCGAACCTGGGACCCTTGAGTCTGCAGGCCGACGATCTGCCCACTGAGCCAAACTGGTTAGGGCACTCACATAATTTCAGCAGACAAACACAAAACGTGTTCTTGCAGGACAACACACCACTTGCTTCCTCCCTAGAAAGTACCTCCCTAGAAAGTGTCCTAGCTTGTGCGTGTTAGCTGTTAAGAATTTGGTGGGGTTATAGTGAATTGAACCTGTAATAAGACACTCCACCCAATGCAAGTTCCTCATCTGTTTTCTAAGCTGCTCATTATGGCCGGGCGTGTGCGGGGTGGGCCAGGGTGTGCCCTCCTGTGCATTCCAGTGCCAGCTTGCTTTGTGCCCGGGGGCCTGTGCTTCTATTAATGTGGGTCCTGTATTCTGTAGGGGAGTGTTTCTCAAACTTCTCTCATGATGAGAACCACCTGGTGGAGTTGTTAAAATACAGATTCCTGAATCCCAACTAAGAAGTGCTAAACTAGAATTTTTGGGACCATATAGATAAAATTGAAAGCTTATATGTTCCCCAAAGTTCTAGTTTAGCACTTCTTAGTTGGGATTCAGGAATCTGTATTTTAACAACTCCACCAGGTGGTTCTCATCACGAGAGAAGTTTGGGAAACACTGCTGTAGGGGAAAAACTGGACAAGCCAGAGTTTTCTAGTGAAAGACCTGTAATTTGGGAGAGGAGAGGAGAGGAGAGAGGGTTACTTTGGAGACGCAGGCCTTTAAAGACGTGTTTAGAGCAGCCCATAAAGGAAGGAAATCCTAGCGAAGCGTTGGGTTTGTGGACAAACTGATGCATCTTTATGGGTGGACTCTCTCACAGATAAAACGCAGGTACATTCAGGTGGTCCAGGTAGAAAAGGAGGATTAGATTCTATAAGGACTATTTTCATTACTTAGAAACTTTGTTCTTTACCAAAGACTCAACCCAAACAGCCCCCGAGCGAGCGTGGGTTTGGGGACGCTCTGACGCCTCTCTGTTCCTCAGGATGCCCGTCTGGGGGTGCGGAAACAAGTGCGGGGCCTGCGGGAGGACCGTGTACCACGCCGAGGAGGTGCAGTGCGATGGGCGGAGCTTCCACCGCTGCTGCTTTCTGTGCAGTAAGTACCGCCGTGCTCCCCCGAGACAGCTCTGTGTGTAAGAAGCTTCGATTTGCATATTTAATGGACAAACTGTGGTTTTGTAAAAGATTTTTGCCTGTCTGTTCTCCTAGACACTATTAAGTGCTCAGCCCAGCAGCAAGGACGGCAGATGCCCAAGACCTTGGCCTTCCTGAGTCCTCATGGCTCTGAGCCCCCCTCCGGCCTTGACTGTCTTCATTTGTCACAGCTGTGTCCCCTGCCCCGGGAGTTCAGTGTCCAGTCTGGCACCTGACACAGTCCGGCCTCCTCTTCCTGGCTGAGCTGCTCTGTTTCTCACCACCCTGTTAAAATTCAAATATCTGGAACGAGCATGTCCAAGTCAAAGGCTAACACAGGCCAAATAAACCAGATTTAAGTTTATGTGGGCCACAAAAAAACCAAAGCTTCCATTTTCATAGAAATGTAGATGTATTTCCATAGAGACATGCTGAATACAAAGGGCTGAAGTAAATGAGTCATTGTTAACATAAAATATAGAACATTTTAATAAAAATTAATATTTTTTCTTGAACATTAACTTAGCAGCCACTGAATAAGCATAACACAAATTAACCTATTTTTCTTTTTCTCCAAAAGCAAAACATTTCCTGTTACACACACTGAACAAGTCAGCCCAAGACTAATAACATGTCCATCAGATGCTAAAATATTCACTGCTAGTATTAGTGGAGATAAATAGTGCGCCTGCATGAAAGGCGCGTAGGGAAATGAATGCAACATGATTATAGTGATCATTGGTTAGCGAACTTTATAGTTCGTTATTAATAATTATGTAGAACAGGATATTGTAAAAATTAAGTTACGACATTTTTGTTAAAATGTTTCATACATACCGTGACATTGCCTGGGCTTCAAAAGCATTCACTGTGGGCCGCGAGTTTGACAAGCTTGCTTTAGAAGCTCAAATTCTGTCTTCTCCAGCAGTGAATACTGTTATTTCTGGACATTGATACCCTACAGTTGAGGGGAAGGAACTTGGGATATGGAAATACCACAGAGGCAGGTTGGTATATTGTTTAAGCTGGGAAATGGTCAGTGTCTGACGTAGGCAGGAAATAAAACAACACCGGTCTATATGCTCAGAAGGGAGTAAATGAGAGAAACAGAATCGGATAAGCTCTCTCTTCCAAGCACATTTCCTCCAAGTCTTCAGTTTTAAACAAGAGTGTGGTTGCATCAAAAGCTCCTCATTAGTCATCTTCTAATGTAAATCTTTGTCTTTAATGAAGAATTAGTTAGTGGGGAACCCACTCTTATGTGCAGTTATTTGCTTTATCTGCACTACTGTACAGTGACTATTGCTGTTGGAAACTACAAATGTTAAAAATAAATTTGGTTACACTGAGAAATAATTTTCAGAGAAAACTTCTCAAGTTTTAGTTGTCCTTTTCCCCCTCGGTACCGGCATTCAAGGTGCCTGGGACCTTTTATAGTGTAGCGAACTAGACACGGACAACACAACACAGTTACAAAAATAAAAATGCAACGTATGAAGGTTTGTTATGTTCGCCTCCAGGGTAACTACCATTTCTCAGATTTGGTTTAACTATTCCTTCTCTTAGAAGTTACTTTTATTTATTTATTTATTTATTTTTTTGAGGAATTATTTTTCAGCAGATTTGTAGTCAAAAGAATATGCGAACACAGAGGAAATGCGAAAATTTTAGAAATTGCTCTTAGTCTCCTCTAGGTTGAGCCATGATGTTTACACCACAATAAAGACGGTGTTTATGAAATGCCAGGTTTCTACTCCTTCCTAATATTTGCCTCTGCTCACAACAGCCTTTTAAGGAAATAATTCAGAGTAGTTAGAATAGGGGTGAGGACTGGGAGGAGAGGGATTATGGAATAAATTTTTCATATATTTATACTTGCTTTGGCTGAATGGATTGTTTTTGTGTTTTCTTTTAAATATATTTTTATTTTTAGAGAGAGAGGAAGGGAAAGGGAGAGAAACATCAATGTGAGAACAATGTTTGATCGCCTGCCTAGTGCACACCCCATACTGTGTATCAAGCCCAAAACCAGCTCATGTGCCTTGACCAGGAATTGAACCAGCAACCTTTCAGTGCCCAGGGTGATACCCAACCAGTTGAGCCACACTGGCCAGGACACTAGATATTTTTCAAAACAGCTTTTATGTTAGTTTATACTTAGTGTCCATTAAGGGTGTTTGTTCTTCAACAGTATATGGTTTTAGGTTAATTGTCTCTTTAAACAAATATTTGTCAATATTTGAGTCTCCACAGCCAGGTTCTGGTGTCGGTGATGTCATTTTGTTCTTCCACAGACTGTGGTCTAAGACAATAGACGAAACTTCATAACTTTTCTCTATCCTCAGCCACCCTGCTAGTCCCCTGCCCTTCGCTCTTTCTTTCCTTCCTCTTTTCACTTCTCCCCTTCTTTCAAGTAAGAGGGGGGTCCCTTTTTCTACTGCCATGTTGGATTTCCAGCTGCCTGATTGTCCTACCAGTGTGCTTGCTCCCTCATAATTCCTACTTTTCTCAGGCTTCATTGAAGTTTTCGAAAGTGAAATAATGTCTGGATTAAACATGATGCCATTTGGCAGTTTTACGAAGTGGGATACTTAGAAATGTCTTGTGGTAAGAAATTCAGCAAGAAAGAATGTGCTCTCCGCCGGGGTGGAAGGGAAACAAATGCCGACTTTCACCCACGTGGTGACCTTCAGACAAGCCTCCCACTGCCGGAGGAGCCGGGCAGGACGGGAGCACGCTCTCTCTGTGAGACTGTGCTGAACGTTAGAATTCTAGAGGGAAAACAGTTCAATCAGGACAAAGGCAGGCTCTCCCAGGAGCTGCTTCTGAGGTGGAGCTACAGAGACAGCTGTCCCAAGACACTCAGCCACCCCTCTGTTGTCTGTTAGGTTGTGATTTAACATTTGGTATGAAAAGGCTGAAAAGATGGGAGTGTCGCAGGTTTGGGAGCAAAGTGTTAGTTTTGTTCCTTTTGTTGGTGTGATTACAGCATTCTCAGACTCCTCTCCCTCCTGCTAGAGGGCAGGTCGTATTGAAAAGTTGGAGGCTTTAAAATTGGGATGTGTTTCTGAAACAACTGTCATACCCATGGGGGAAAGCAAACAGGCCTCAGATGTGGCTGACCTGTCCAGATGCCGTCTCAGGCTTCTGGGAAACCACAGATAAACCAGGGAGGTGAGCAAGCCTGGCCATTACCATTTGCAGACCATGCGTCTATACCACTACTGGTCTCAGGAGATAGGCATCTTTGGCACATTTTTAAATTCTAACTTTTCCTCCCTCAGTGGTTTGCAGGAAAAACTTAGATAGCACAACAGTGGCAATTCATGATGAAGAGATCTACTGCAAATCTTGCTACGGAAAGAAGTATGGGCCAAAAGGCTATGGGTATGGCCAGGGCGCTGGCACCCTCAACATGGACCGGGGCGAGAGGCTGGGCATCAAGCCAGAGAGGTGAGTTAGGATCATGTTCATTATCTTCAGAGATGAATTATAACAATTAATGTGGCTTGGCAAACAGGAACCTGGGAGTTTTCAGACTTTTACCTTAAAACTCAAGGCCTGAAATTTGTGCACTGGGGGAGGGGAGGGTCCCTTAGCCCAGCCTGCCCCCTTGCACAGTCAGGGAGCCCTCAGGGGATGTCCGACTGACGGCTTAGGCCCACTCCCCATGGAGAGCAGTCCATAGTCACAGTCTGGCCTCCCTAGAGAAAAATAAAAATAATGAAATTAAATCAAATAGTATAGGCAGATTTTCTAAAATATTTTCCCACAAAGAAAGTGATATGTTTACACTTTCATCTATGTAAGCTGTATTTGGAAATTAATTTATAAATCATTGCTTCATTTTCTTATAGACTGCTTAAGTCAACTGACCTATATGCAAAAACTGCTTAACATTGATTTTTTCCAATCTCATGTGAAATAAAAAGCTAGATGTGATTCTAGTGGTACTAATATGACTCTGGGTTAAAAATATGTGTGATGGTATTTTATGAAGCATAGCATAGTAGTTTAGTGGAGAGGCTAGCACTGGAGACAGAATGAAATTTGATATTAGGCTTAGAAAGACAGATACTTTAGTTTGGATCTTTTTGTAACAATAATGAGCCCGTACGTAGGTTAAAGTATAATAATAACTATGGCTGCACCTGAGATTAATTTCTTCTTCCCCCTCGGCTGGCCTGGGAAGGCCTCCCGCCCTGAGGTGTAGCACCAAATCCCGAGGGCCATTGTGCCTGCCGTGTGGGTCTACCAGGGCCCTTTGGAAAATCGAATAGCTTTTTTTCTCCTTTCCACAGTGTTCAACCTCACAGGCCGACAACAAACCCCAACACTTCGAAGTTTGCTCAGAAGTTCGGAGGTGCTGAGAAGTGTTCCAGATGTGGGGATTCTGTGTACGCCGCTGAGAAGATCATCGGAGCAGGAAAGGTAAAGTGGTGCTTTGTATTAACGACAGTGAAGGACAGCTCTCCGCGTCCCCCCTTAGCCCTCCACACCCCACACAGGCATGTGTTTTGTAAGTAAATGCTGAGGATCAAAGTTATTTTAAATTGCGTTTCTATCTGAATCGTTAATTTCTTGAAGTACTGCCCTTATTTGACAAGGAAACTTGTTTTCCTAAGGGGCTCTCCTGAAGGTTATTAACAAACACGGCTAGGCTGTTAACAAAGCTGGCTCTGCAGGTTAGTCTGTGTAATGCAAGCATGTCAAACTCGCAGGCTAACACGGGCCAAATAAATGAGGCCTGTGGCCTGCGGGCTGAAAGTTTGACATGCTTGGTGTAGTGGGGAAAAGCAGTGAACCAGTCAGAACATTGGTGTGTGGATTTAGGGAAGTGACTTCACCTCTTTGAGCTGCAGGGTCTGTCAACTCTAAAGGAAGCCGTTTAAAAGTGCGCACCAGCCATGTGACAAGGCCTCAGAGCGCTCTCAGGGAAGTGGCCCTTCCGTGGGTAGCTTCCAGTCCACATCTTGTGTGAGTGAAGTTTGAACTAAGCCCTTTTGTAGGTGACCGAGAATGCAGATGCTGGGGTGGTCCAGTCCCCGCCGTGGTTGGGTTGAACCGGCGCTCGGGAGCTCTCTGTGGGATGATCTTCCTGAGCGTGTGAATTTGTACGGCAGGAACCAGCCTCTCAGACTTGCTCACTGGTCTCTTTCAGCCCTGGCACAAAAACTGCTTCCGCTGTGCCAAGTGTGGAAAGAGTCTTGAATCAACAACTCTGACTGAGAAGGAAGGTGAAATCTATTGTAAAGGTAAAATTAATTTCAGGTATTATTTATCCGTATGAATATCCTGCACTGGCTATTTGTTAATGGAATGTCATTAGCATTAAAAACACACACAAAAGAATAAATAAATAGTCTGAAAATGGGGGGAAGCAGGCTAGTGTCACTGGCTGTTTGAAAATAAAAGATTTAGGGATATTTCCAGATGACAGAAACCCACAGAATTTGACTGATAGTCAAGATCTTGATCATTTAAAACTCCCCTACCAATAAAAGCAACCCCACAACAAAGTCTTCTTTCATCTTTTTAAGCAACATTTATGAATATATACTTTATGTCTATAGGTGAGTATATAAGGTAATAGACAAATATGTAACTTACCTGGCCCGATTTTCATGCTCGTAACTCAGTGAGCTGAAAACTATGGAACCAGAATGCTCAGACTTGGCCTTTACAGTTAGTTACTATCGATACACCTTAAGTAAGTTGAACTTTTTGGCATAGTCAGCATTTTTTAAATGCTAGCCAAGCTTAATGAACTTGCAGTAACTCTCCCTTTCCTTTTTTGTAGGATGCTATGCAAAGAACTTCGGGCCCAAAGGATTTGGCTATGGCCAAGGAGCAGGAGCCCTTGTTCACTCTCAGTAAAGGTGTAAACCCGGAACCGAGATCCCACCCTGAGAATCTCTACATAATCTAGGCACAGAAGATCTAACACTAAACTACTGTGAAATCCTACCAGCACGTATGTACTGTATGTTGCCCTGTACTTGGATAGGCTGGCCCACTAGTAGGAAGAGAGCACTGTATCCTTTTGCTTTATTCATCAGCGTTTTCAAGAACCATTACTTTTACACTTTAAATAAAACTTCGGCTGCATTTGGGTGTTGTCTTTCAATTACCTTTTGGAAGAGCTGTTGTGATTTCAGCTAGTAGAAAATCCTTTGGGTCCCTACCTGTGTTTTATTTGTGTGAGAGAGAGTCCACCCCATTACCCAGTTGACTCACTGGGTTAATGTTTGCATTTCAGCTATTGGAAAAGACTTCTAGGATGGTAAATATGCCTCGAGTGAGGGTTACTGAACAGTTCAGATTCCTCAAAGCTAGTTTTCAGCAGTGCAGCATCTCCTATAGCATGGTGGCCACTCCAAATGGCTCCTAGACAACCCGCCTTAGAATCGCCCGGGAGCGTGAAAAGGCAGTTCTCAGGCCCAGCTTCTTCCCACAGCAGCAGAATCCACAAGGGTGGGGCCGGAACCCTTTCAACCAATTCCTCTGAGAGGCATATTGATCTAAGGTGGGTGCACTGTTAAGTCGAAGATTCTTTCCTATACCCAAAGATCATTGCAAACAGCTCCCTACTGACAACTGTCAAATCTGAAGCTTAGGGTGGCTTTTTAGACTCTGCTAACCCCTGGGAACTGAGTGCTTTCTCACAGCAATTCTGCACGAGGCAAAGCTTGTTGCATTGTCCTGGTACATTCAGGTGGTTCGGGTAGAAAGGATTGGATTCTATAAGGACTATTTTCATTACTTAGAAACTTTGTCCTTTACCAAAGACTCAATCCAAACTTCTTTTCCAGGAGCAGGGTCTGAAATTGGCCTATGATTTAGTGAAACTGAACCAGCCTGATATGTGAACACATCTTAACCTTTACCAAAAACCACCTTATTACATTGCTTATTTTGAAAAGCTAAAGGGTGTGTGTTATGTCTGACATCAAAAAGAATGAAACTTAGTGGGGAGAAGAGAATTGAGGGTATGCCAGGTGATAGAATTCATGCTGATTGACATCATAGCTCAGAGTACGTCACAAGTTCCAGTGTGGGAGAAGGGTAAGTCTTTCTGTTAAGCAGGACAGGGACATTAATTGGAAATAAATGAGATAGCTTGACTTGAAGAATTATGCAGTAACTTATGTATGTGGGAGTTTTAAAACATCTTAGCCATACACAGATTCTTTGACATACCCATTAAAGATGGAGTCTAATTCCCATCCCTCTGGACAAAGGCTAACCTTGGTGATGCATTTTTAACTCACAGGATCTGACGGACAAGTCTAGATAAAAAACGACAATAGTTTCTGCTTGCTTACTTTCTCTTAGGGTGCTTACTCAGAGCTGAGCCACCATGTTTTAAGAAAGCCCAAGCTACACATGGAAGCTAAACATAGGTGTTCTAGCTATATTTGGTATCAGCATGTACAATCAATCTATCACACATGTGAGTGAACTTTCAATTATTCCAGTCCTGTTTTGAACCATCCCAGCTGACACCAAGGTGGTTAAAGTGAGCTACTCCTGTTGAGTTCTAACTAAGTGCAGATCTGTGAACAAAAATACCATTTTACACCACTCAATTTGGGGTGGTTTGAAGCAGTGATAGATAACCCAGAATGTTTTATATAATAAATCTATTTCTAATCTTAAAACACTCGCAAACATAATAAACTTCCCTACACAGAAGCAACATTTCCCACATTTACTGTTTTCCACATTGTGTTGGAGATGCTAATAATATCCTAGAAAAAAAATATTCAATGTGAAGTTGCCAGGTGCCTGGTAATTTGAGACTTCTTGCTAAATTCGATATCCATTCATAATAATTAAAATTATTCTTAAACTGGAGTCATGGCAAAACAGCCACTCCAAAACTGTAAACTTAGCTTCCACTGGTTTCAGGAGTGGAGAAAGGAATTTGGCTTTGGGCAGACTGTTCTGGGAAGAATTACTTTCATCATTTGGATGCAAATTGACAGGGTAGCACCCAAGAAATCCAAGTGTGATATTAAAGGGCTGCGTGGCAAATACATATTTTTATTTTAAAAACCATCCATTTGGGCTGATGTGGTTCAGTTGGTCGGGTCTCATTCCGTGCACCAAAAGTGTGTAGGTTTGATTCCCAGTCAAGGTCGGGAATATGTAAGAGGCAGCCGATCGATGTTTTTCATTATTGATGTTTCTATTTCTCTCTTCCTCTCTGAAATCAAGAAAAATATATATGTTTTAAATTTCTTAAATATACTTATATTTAAAACTTGGAGATTCATATAGTCCCAGAAGATCCTACTAACTCCATATAACCTAAGATTCTTATAGAAAACTTTATTTTCTTTATTAAAAAATAATAATTACACACACATATACACATAAAATTGTGGAGCTTTTTTTTTTAGAATAACACTACCACCCTTAAACCAATTTCTAATCTTGCAACTTGAATTCTAGTTGACTCAATATAAATATATAATCTATTCACATTATAGATACTACTAGTGTTTCATCAATTTCTTGAAGTGAATCAAGTGAAATAAGCAAGCACACATCTAAGAGTCAATATTTATTCCGATTAATATTTTAAAAATTTTGACAGATTTAATTTATGTGAGGAGAGCTAATTTATTAAACACTTTACAGGTTTTCCTTTCCACAGAGTAACACGGTAAGTAGCAAAATAATACTTGGCACAGTTATAAATAAAGAAAATATAAAATAAAAATATCAATAGCTTAACTATAATGATGTTGTTTTATGCCTTCTAATATTTCAAACAAATTCCTGGGAACAACAAAAATATGAAGAGAAAAAAACTCCAAAAAAAAGTTGATGTTCAGAGCTGAGAAAAATAAGTTCCTATTTGTTAAATGTACCCAATTAAGCTGATATGAACTACTTCCCAAAGTGTCACCTTCATACACAAGTTTAGAACTGGGTCACTAAGTTGGTTCCACATACAAGACCTATGAAAGAATTAAACAGAGAGTGCAGTGCTGCACAGTTGGCTCCTGACCATCTGACCATTTCTGAGTTATAGATTTCATTGGTATTATGAGATGGTTAGTACTAGTTAACATTGCTAATATTTTCCATGTAATTAAATATCTAGAGGGTTTTTCTATTTAACTGAAAGACATCTCTTGCACTGAAAAGAATATTGTACCACAAAGAAAAAAAGTGGTAGCAACACTCTTATCCAAATTAGAAAATCATCATAGTATTTGACTGTTAATAAAAATGTATTCAATAAAAACTGTAACCGAGTCTTCATGTGAAGTGGCTCAAAATACAAAAAATTAAAACAAATTCTAGGCTTTTATAAATGTGAAATAAAAAAATTATCTAAAATTTGCCCCAATTAGTAGTCAAAACTAGCAGAGACACTTGTTAATTGACCAGTGTTTTACACTCTGACAAAAATGGCACAATGCTACTGCCACCCCACAACCATCGCTTCCCTTTTCAAAATAAAGTACGTATGCCAATATTCTAATCTTAAAACACTCACAAACACACTAAGTGTAATCTTTCTGGTGTGTGACTTATGGTCAAAGGGACTATATAAAAACAGTATTTGGAAATACTGAACATCAACTATGTACATTTTCACTGCTCCTCTTACTAAGGCAAGGGGCGGCGGGTATACCACTAGATTGCTTTAATACCTGTAATCTGCATTTTACAGGGAATACTAATTTTACCAAGCATCAGACATGCAGTGAACTTGCAAGGTATAATGCCTATTAACAGCAATATGAAACATCACTAGAAGCTCATTAGTTATCTTTCTTTTCTTTTGGTTGGATAAAACGAAATGAGCAGCTTTAAACAACTAACACATACACAGACACAAAGAGAAAACTATTTGATAAATTATTTATATACAGATACACAATCTTTACACTGGCCTAGGGTCTGTCATTAGTCTGACCACCCTTTTCCCACCCTCCCCCAGCCCATTCCCTCTCACAGGTTTCCCACAGGTTGCTCGAACCACAGTTTGCTACAGCATTTAAGAGGACTACAGCAAGTCTCACTCTGTAAACAATATTTATGGAAGCAATGACTGATAGCTCATTGTGAGTATGAAAATGCTGCAACAAAAATTGATCAGTGCATCACGTTTAACAATATAAGAAAATCTTTTTTGAAATCCAGATAACATTAACAAATTTCAAAACATTCAATACTGAAAAAACTCAAATAAACTTGGGGATTAAATTCTTTCTGATAGGTCATATTTTTAAAACCAGAACATTCATTAGCTTTTCTTTTAATCAGATGTGCTATGTACAGAGATCATGCTCCATCTTTAGCTAAACTCCATCATTTTGTCTTTATTTTGCAGCTCAAAATTTTAAAAAGTCAATTCACTTATCTATTAGTGAGAATTCAGCATTAACTTATTCTGCATTTTCTTGAAAATACCTTAACTCTTAAAAAGTAGATTGTGTGCACATCAAATTAAATTCTAATTTATGCTTTACTGGATAGTAGGTGCTATAATACATTCTATGAGGTGTATCATGCACTTAGTAGGGCTTTTAAGCTTAAACAAAATGGCATGACTTATACTCATGCAAGTGTTTTGTTATCAGACCATAAAACCTCACAGCAAGGTTACTACAAATCACTTACTAAACCAGAAATATATCGGCACTGTAAGAGCTGAGAGCAATATAATATTATTAGCACTTTTTTTTTTTTTTTTTGTTGGTGAACATTATTTTCTTGTGCCTTTGAAGACAATAGAGAGGATCCCTAATAAAACCACATGATTTTCATCACAGTATAAACATGTACATTCTGAAACGTACATAACATTAGTTTGAATCAATTCAAGGCTAACTGCAATACTATTAGATTGTACCATAAAATTTAGCTGTATACCATAAATTTAGTTTTAGCAAGACTCAAACATTTCTGATTAGTATCTGTCAACAGAATAAGTTCATTTTTTTTGTGTGAAAAGTGTTATGAGAACAAAACAAAAAGTTGAGTATGTTGTGAATTCCCACATTAAATTCATTTTAAGATCTTTACTCTTCCCAGAAGTGGCAGTGTGTTCTGTCCATATTTACCTTTGTTAATAAAAGTGTTGGGGGAAAAAGACTGTAAAATTCACTGTTAGCCCCATATACAACATGCTCTTGTTCAAAGGATGTGGATTCGAGTGTGAGAGAGACACGGACAGACACATTTTCAGGCACCACTTAGCAATATGCTTCATAAGATAAAGACGCTGCTACACGAGCTGGTACCCAGATCCTGATATTTGGTCATATTCTATTGTATACTGCCTTGTCCAGTCCACGATAACAGGACGAAAGAGGCCACAGCATCGAAATTCAAAGAAGTCTATAATATTCCTTACACATCCATGGCTAAAACAAAAAAACAAAAAAAAAGAGTATTAGTATAACGATTTAATATATTGAGTTTAATATAATTTTGGTGGTAAATATTACTTTTCTAAATTTAAAAACTCAGGTTACTTGCCAGAAAGAATCTGTTTTTTTGATATTTATTGCTCAATAAAATATATGTACATTCATGTTTCCTCACAGCTTGGCCAACCTAGTTTTTCTTTTCTCTTGTGTGCTAATTTAATGGGTTACACACTTACATTTTAAAGTTATTCAAATCTGCATTTCATTCTTGTCATGTAATTTTTATAAAACCTTTCCTTGATTGGTGGTTTTTTGGCAAGAAGACAAACTACATCCAAAGTTGAGAAAGTAAAAGACAAAATAAATAAAAATAGCATAAATTTGGTAGTGTACATAATATAACAATTTTAAAAAGGGTCCGGGTAAGTTCAGGGAATTTTAGAACTTTGACACCTTTGGAAAAGCAGTCTGCTTCCCTCTTATATAACTACTAGGGGCCCAGTGCACAAATTCATGCAACTTGAAAGGAATTGTGGGCTGTAAGACTGTGGTGGGCACAGGGGCGGGTCTTGGCCCATCCTCCATGCCCCCACTCAGCCCCTCCCACCGTGGCCCCCAGTACCATCTGCCGGTAGCCCCGCTCCTGCCATCACTCCCATGCACTGATAGCACCAGCCCTGCCTGCACCGCTGACGGCGCAGAGCGATCGGGGCCGACCCCAGCAGCAGGTGCAAGCAGGGCTGGTGTTGTCAGTGGGTGAGAGTGGTGACTGCTGGTCCCAATCACTCCTCAGGAGCAGGGGAAGGTGGAAAAGCCCTCGGGTAATTGGAGCCAGAAGCCTCCACTCACCCCCACTGATGGCATCGAATGATCAGGACCGGCAAGCCAGCTGCCAGCAGCAGGTGCGAGCGGCAGCTCTGCCGCCGGCTGTGGGTGCGAGCAGGGCTATTGCTGGCAGCAGGCACGAGTGGTGGCTGCTGGCCCGAATAGCCCCTCAGGAGCAGAGAGCTGGAGAAGCCCTGAGGAGCAATTGGGGCCACCAGCCACCACTTGCATCTGCTGATGGCCCCAAGAGCAGGTGTGAGCGGGGCCAGCACAAGCAGCAGGTCTGAGCAGCGGGCTGGACCACAGCATGTGGGAGCAAAGAATTTTCAGTAACCACCAGAGGCTCACCCTATGACAGCGACAGGTGCCCTGCCTTGGTCTGGTGCCTCCGCTCACCTTTTTCACCATTCTGCTGATGCCCACCATGTTCTGCATGCGCCCCTGGTGGTCAGGCATGTCATAGCAACCACTTGTTCTGCCGTTCAGTCTATTTGCATATTAGCCTTTCATTATATAGGATTGTGCCTAAATGAGAATTCTGAAAACTACCTAATTGCCTCTTTTTTTTGTCCTTAGTTATGGGCTTGTTTGTTTCCCAGAAGCATATAATAGTTAAAAGCACTGCAAAAGTTTCCAGGTGGTAGGCAAATAGCTTGAATAAAACTCCAAGTTTTAAATATTTCATTTTATTAAGAAACTACTTTTAAAATGTATATATAAGGAACAGGACAGACATTTTCAATAAGTGGGGTTGGAAAAACTGGATAGCACATGTAAATAATAGTCTGGACTATCTTATACTATTAACATGGAAATTAACCTAAAATAAATTAGAAAATATAAGACCTAAAACCATAAAAATCCTAGAAGCAAACAGGCAGTGAGCTTCTTGTCATCAGTCTAGGTGATGAATTTTTGAATCTGACACCAAATGCAAAAGCAAAAATAAACAAGTGGTACTACATCAAACTAAAATGCTTCTGCACATCAAAGAAAACCATCAATAAAATGAAAAGGCAACCTACTGAATAGAAAATAGTTACAAATCATAGATCTGCTAAGGGATTACTATCCAAAATATATAACAAAATCTTACAACTCAATAGCAAAAAAGCAAACAATCTGATTAAAAAATGGGCAGAATATCTGAATAGACATTTTTCCAAAGAAGATACACAAATGGTGAAAAGGTACATGACATGAAAAGATGTTCAACATCACTACACATCAGAGAAATGCACAAATAAAATTAACTTCACACCTTTTAGAATGACTAGTATATAAAAAAAAAAAAAAAAAGACTAGTGCTGGTGAGGAAGTGGTGAGATAATAAATTAGTGCAACCCACTATGAAAAATAGTATAGAGTTTCCTCAAAAATTTAAAGATAGAACTACAATATGACCAAGCAATTCTACTTCTGGATATTTAGCCAAAGAAAACAAAAACATTAACTTGAAAAGATCAATGCACCTCCATGTTTATTGCAGCATTATTTACAATAGCCACGATGTGGAAACAACTTAGGTGTCCATTGATAGATGAGTGAATAAAAAAAGTAGTGTATACAGAGAAAAACACCATATGCTATCACTTACCCGTATTTTCCGGCATATAAGACGACCCCTTAATTTTACAGTTAAAACATAGGTTTAGGCCTATATTCGCTGTATAAGACTACCCCCCACTTCAAAGAAAAGACTTTGCCGTCAAGATCTGCAGGTAATTTTTGTGCAATTTTGGTCTTTTGCCCCCGATTTTCGGTTGACTTTTTTCGTTTCAAAGGTCATCTTATACGCTGGAAAATACGGTATATGTGGAATCCAAACGACAAATGAATAAACAAAACCCAAGCTCATAAAAAGAGAACAGTTGGTGATTGCTACAGTAAAGGGTGGTAAGATGGTTGAAATGTGTGAAGAGGATTCCTCAAAAGGTAGAAATTTAGTTATAAAAGAAATAAGTCCTGGTATACTGTACAACATGGTGACTATCCTATAATAAAAAGCTAATATGCAAATTGTCCCCTCAGGAGTTTGACCGGGAGACTGGGAATTCAATTGCTCACTATGATGTGTGCTGATCACCAGGGGGCGGCACAAAAATGGCAGGCGACCAGCAGCAGCCGCAGGGCACTGAGGGAGCGAGGGAAGGAGGAGGTGGGGAGGTGGAAAACCTGATCAGCCCTGATCACCAGCCAGGCCTAGGGACCCTACCCATGCATGAATTTCATGCACCTGGTCTCTAGTAGTTAATAATATTGTATTGCATATTTGAAAGTTGCTAAGAGAGTAGATCTTAAAAGTTCTCATTAAAAAAAAAAATTTAACTATGTATGGTGACAGATGTTAACTAGACTCCTATGATTATTTTTCAATGTATACAAATATCAAATTATGTTGTACCCCTAAAACTACTATAATGTTACATGCCGATTATACCTCAATTTAAAAAGATAAGACATGTGGGAATTTTTGTCTCAACCAGACGGTAAATACATAATTTGTACTGAAAAGTTGTCTTAAAGCATGGGGAATTTCCCTAAATATAAACTTCAATTGACTGTGTTTTTTTTTTGTGTGTGTTTTTTTCTAAATATATTTTTATTGATTTTGTACAGAGAGGAAGGGAGAGAAATAGAGAGTCAGAAACATCTATGAGAGAGAGTCATCGATCAGCTGCCTCTTGCACACTCCCCACTGGGGATATGCCCGCAACCGAGGTACATGCCCTTGACCGGAATCGAACCCGGGACCCTTAAGTCCCCAAGCTGACGCTCTATCCACTGAGCCAAACCGGTCTCGGCTTGACTGTGTTTTTTAAATCTTATTTCATTTCTCTGGGTACATTCATTTTCTAATGAAAATTTATAAATTGATGGAAAGATTAAAAATCAAATACTTAATAGGTCAATAAAGTTTGAATTGTGCAATTAAGGAAAAAAAGAATACCACATATTTATAAACAGTTAATGTGATAAACTCTAAAGTTATGATAAACTAATGATATGTGTGGCTGAATCTAAAATTTAGTAGGATTTATAAACTATTTTACATATTTCTAAGTAAAAGAAACATTTCATATTGAATATCCTATTGTCATAAATAAAGAAAACACTTCTCTTTGATGTATTCACTAGATAATTGCTGAGTTTGGTTTAGTAAGGAAATTTATGTGACAAGGAAAAATATTAAATTTATAAACATGTACATACTTGAATGGGCTTTCAATAGATGTTGTTGTGACTTTAAAGTGCTTGTATCTTCTGGCATTCATTCTTTCATTTGTAGTAATACCTAAACATGATATCTAAGAGAGAAGGAAAGAAAACCATTAATTCTGAGTATTTAATGTAAATAAATTAATGAACTCTCAAGGTCAGGATGGAGAGAAAAATGATGAAGTCTGCTTTTGGTTTTCAATTAGGAGAATATCAAACTAGTTCACAAAATATCATTTTGATTCCATGAAAAAGCTCATAAAATGGGGAGTATATTTAAAAACAGGTTACTTGGCATTGTGCGCATGGAGAGATGGACACTATGTACACAAAACACCTCAATCACCTCTTTAAGAATAAGCTTTTAAAAAATTACTTAATTTAATAAAAGACAAATGTTGATATTTGGTATTGATAATAAAACATTATTATTAAAATGCACACAAATTTGATCGCATCATCAATCTAAGCTTACAATTATATCCAATTAGATGTATTTGAATCAGGAAAAACAGAAATAAAAAGTTCTGTCAAGAGTAGTATTCAAAATCAAAAGTTCATTAAAAAAAAGAAGGAGAAGAGGAGGAGAAAAGTACAAAGAAAAAGTAAATTAAAATTGTATTCTTTGAAATGTAAGAGTGAGTGGAAAAAGAATACATTATTGTCTTTTAAGCAAGAAGTGAATTTTAAGTTTTGAATTGGTACACTAAAGAGCAAATAATGCACTTGCACGTACCTGGTACATCTGACACATGAGTAATACCGCCACCCACATGAAATGAAATACACTGTTCAGAAACATCCAAAACATCCAAGGCGAACATGTGGCAATTTGGGTAATATATGTCCAAAATCCATCCTTGGTGTAAGTGGTCTCACAGTGGAGTCCCCAGTCTAAAATCAGAAAAGCACTCACATTTACTCAATAATCACCCAAGCACCTGTGCAGACATTTGTGGTAGGCACCGCTTAAAAAACATGATCCAAGCCCTGACCAGGTGGCTCAGTTGGTTGGAGCAATGTCCCATACACCAAAAAGGTTGCAGGTCTGATTCTCAGTCAGTTTACATGCCAAAGTTGTGGGTTTGGTCCCCAGATGGGGTGCATAACTGATTTCTCTCTCTCAAAAAAGCTGAAGCCAACACAATAAACATAACCTTGCATGAGGCTTAAAATAAAAAAGGTCTGCCCCCCTAAAAAGAAACCCAAAACAAAAAGCATGATCTAAGAGTCTAGCTTTAATTAGTGACTTTCAATGCACATTTTTTATAGTCTTAGATGATCCCATTATACATTAGTGAAAAAGTGTGTGTGCGTTTCGGGGTTTAGGGCAAGGGTTGGGAGATGTAGAGATTGAGAAAAAAAAAAAAAAGACAAAATAGGGACAAATGGTTAACATTGTGGTGGTGACTGCAGGTGGAGGTGAGAAGGGAGGGTGGAGGTGGAAAGGACATGGGATAAATGGTGATGGAAAAAATAAATAAAAGTAAAATAAAAACAAAAAACAAAAATCACATCAGAAATGGAAAGCAAAGCAGCAAATCTTTAAAAAAAACAAACACACCACTGTGTTGTAACAATATTCAGATGTTATTTGATGGATACTATACACACATATTTGAGGACATAAGTTTTTTTTTTATTAGGGCAATAAGAGATTACTCTTAATATCTGAGAACCAGGAAATCATCCTTCCAAGATTTACTTTTAAGCTGGAATCTAATACATCTTTATGCTAAGTACCACCAAGACCTGCATAGTAACTAATATATTCATTTAAACTCTTTCCAATTTATGTTTTCAATGCAATAAAACCCCCAAAATTCCTCTAAGGTACTAAACTTATATTTTCAAGTGAATGACAACTTATTCTTAAAAGAGTAATTTCTAATATCTTTTAATATTCTCTAGTAGGTAATAATTACCTCACTTCTCAAAATATTTCAAGTTCTCTGCAAATTTAACTTCAGCTATCTTTTACCAACTGTTTGGTAAGAAAGAGCAACTAGCAAAATCACAAAATCTATAAACTGCTAGAGTAAAGCAAGCAAATGATATAAAAAAAAGTACTATACATTTAACCCAGAAGCTTTTCAAAGCCTAGTAAGCCAACACATTTTTCAGGGACACACATATTAAACAACAGTTAGTTAATTGATCATTCTGTTGCTTATACTATAAGTTAAACATGATTGATAATACTATTATGTTTTTTCTTTATGCTTCATTACAGTGAGATGCCCCAAACCAAAATTTTTAGTTAAAAGACTTTTGTCATTTTCATATTGTTGTTAACATGGTAAGCATGAGTATGCAAACACTTTTGCTTTTAAGAGAGGAAAAAAACCTAGTGTACTCACAAGAAATACAACCATAAATCATCCAGCAGATCATAAAAAGTAAGAAGAACAGGTAGCCCATAAAGTATCTATGGTTGCCTGCACCTAGAAACAACAAAAAAGCAATTTTTTTCAGCTAAGAAAATAACAACTGGCAACACAGCAGGAGTGGGAAGAATTAGGAGGAGGGAAGGAGTATCATGAAAGGTGTGATACAACTGAGACAATAATTACACACATTAATTATTTTAGAAAATGTTCTTCAAGAAAATTAATGATTCCACTAAAGTCTTACTATAAGAATGCCTATTGTAATAACATACAAAAATGTGATGACTGCAATGATACTCATTTTGAAGGCAAAAGAGTCTCAAAGAATCAAGTCACAATTCTGAGCTTTAATGCTCCTCTTTGCTTTGTGATGTTAAAATATCCCTATTTTAGCTTTATTTTTGTAAACTTCATAATCCAACTTTTTAAAGGTTTCTCCCCAACAGTTACACAGTCTTTGTAATGTTTCTCTGCTGTCACCTCAAGAAATCCCAGGGCCATCTCTCAGATCACTCAGCTCATCTCCTCAGACTCCATTATTCTTGAACACTGAATTATGTGGAGTTCTTATCTGTCATTCCTTTTTTCCTCTGAGCATCATATCCTTTCAAATATTTCTATTGACTTACTTTCTCTAGTTTAACAACAACAACAAAAATACTATCTGGTCAAAATTGGTTTGACTCAGTGGATAGGGCGTCGGCCTGCGGACTGAAAGGTACCAGGTTCAATTCTAGTCAAGGGCATGTACCTTAGTTGCAGGCAAATCCCCAGTGGGGATGTGCAGGAGGCAGCTGATAGATGTATCTCTCTCATCAATGTTTCTAACTATTTCTCTCCCTTCCTCTCTGTAAAAAATCAATAAAAAATATATTTAAAAAAATACCATCTGCCTTTTCAAATTCACTATTATCCAATGGAGAAAAAAGGAAAGAGTAGGCATCAGAAAAAATTGATAGAGAAATGCTATCAATCTTTTCTAGACACTGATTTTAAGCACATACTCTCAACTGAGCTGCTTAATTAGGGAGTTAGGGAGTGAGTGTAGTAAGGTACAGGAATGAACTTTTTATAATATTATCAGCTTTAATATTATACTTTATTAATTACATAAACTTAAATAAACAATATATTTAGAAATTTCTAATAAAACTTACCTACACAGTTACCCACCCATGGGCAATGATGATCAAATTTTGCTATACAGCGGTTGCACACACCACAATGTTTGGACCTCACTGGTTTCCGTATCTGTTAATAGGCATGTTAAAAGATTATAAAAGGCACTAAATCTTGGAGAGGAGAGCAGAACATTTATTTTCTCAAAGTATAATTATGGAAAAAAAACCTATATTTTTGGAAAAGAATTATACCAAGGTTTCCAAGGGTAAGACAAAACAATTTCAACTGCAACAACAAAGTTAAAAGGATAAGGCTACTCTAGAATATAAACTCTTAAGAATGAAGTAGAATTTCCAACTTTCTGTTTGGATGAATGGTACTATTTTAATTCATATCCCTCAAATTTCTGAATAATAAAAACACTACTTTCTAGGCTTCTAAATGAAAATTTATTGTAATTAATGGTCATGATATTAGTTGTTCTTTAATAAAATGAAATTGTTCTTTAGTAAAAGGAGGGTCAAATTAGAAGTGAATAAAAGCTTTTAGAATTCAAAATCATTTAATATGAATCTTCCCATATTCTAACAAAAAATGTAAGTGTAACATCTATTTCTCTTTTAGTGCCTCCTGCAATCTCAGTTTCAGGTATAGACATACCCTGCAATGCATGGCTATATCTAAGAAAGTACAATATGCTTAGGAAGTTTAGGTAGTCCCTATTTCTTACAAAACAAAATATAAATACATTATTCAGCTTCTGACAGGCAATAAAGAGTTCATGTTTATATTTTAATGTTTTAACTATTGTAAAATATTTTACTCTATATTAGTCTAAATCAGCCAAGTGAATACAAGAACTCAGTAGTAATCTTCGAAGGGACTGGTAGTCCCAGTTCTGGGTATAAAGCAAAAAGCTAGTGATTAAACTATGTCAGAAACAAAATTTACAATATCCTTCATTGGTATTTTAACAAAAGCACTGCCATTTCCCCAATAATATGCATGAAGTTATACACAATTCTAAGGTCCTAAGAAGAAAACCTAAATGGACTCTGCAGTTCTTACATGTATTAATATGATCTGTGGATCAAAGAAAAGGGTAAGTTAGTCTTTACCACAGATAATGTGGCTACATCTATTTAGGAGAAAGAAGCAGGATATATTAAGTAAATTTACTCTCTCCTTGAATCCTCAGCTACATTTCCCCTCTGGGAATTCACTTGTCAATGAATTCTGAACTAGACTGACGAAGGCCCTGAATATAGTAGTCTCTTCATTTCCCTAGCAAAGTAATTGTTTTTTTAGAAAATTGTGATCTAGTTGTGTCTCCTCAGAGATTTGCTTATTTATTAAAGTAAAAGATACCCACCCATATAATGACAAATACTCTGTTGAATTTGAATCATTTCATAACATGTATGTTCTTATTTTACAAAACCAAATTACCTACCCAGGAGTATATGGCTTATAAAAATATATTATAAAACATTTACACTATGTTTTGTTCTTGTTATTAAATATTTGTCTAACAATAAAACTGTACTGAGTGACTCCATAAAGAATTTGTTTGCCATATGGCAAACATATCAACAATGCATTCTTAACTTTATAAGACAGAATAATTTCCACAGAACAGGCTATAAAAACATTCTATAGGTTAAAAATGCCAAACATAAATAATCCATTGTAAGCATAGAAACAAAAACTATTTTTTAAAGAATGCTTTAAAGTAGCAGCCTAAAGTTGCTAGTATATATTTTGAATACTCAAAACCATGACTGTTTGGTTAATGACTATTAAGTGAAGCAACTTAAGGAATCTGTAGCATCAGAGCTCAGTTTTAAAAACTCATTCCATAATCCTAATCTATTTTATTATTCAAATGTTAAGACCTCAGTTCAATTGCAAAGGTATAAAAGAGCATTTAGTTTCAGGTACAATTTGAAGGTATTTCAATTTCCATGTAGAAAAACATGGTAACCATTGTAGCAATTTACACACTTTTCACAAGAATTATAAAAATTAAAGCAGAAAATAATAAAAACTGTAAAGTTATTCTTTAGAAATTTGATGTCTATAATAAAATAATGTCAATATTACCATAGCTATTGGTAATGCTATCTAATTTCATACATATCTTTATCTATGACCTGGTTGAAGATAACAATTTTTAATATCGATAAAATAGTGCTCAAACTTGCATAACATTCTAATACGGACAGACTGATGTATTTAAAAATATACAGTGTTAGGGATCATACTAAATCTTTGATCTTAAAGACATTATTACTTAGTTTTTTATTTGTTGAATTGCATTTTAAGAGAGGAAGAGAGTAAGAATGAATATCGATGAATGACATCTCTAAACAGATCTACAGTCAAGTTCTATCAGGGAGAATAAGCACACTGGGAAGGAGACATCGTGTTACCATCTTTCCTCTTGTATCACTTTTTTGGAGGGCACGAAATGTGCTCAGCAAAGAACATCTTCTCTTTGTTTCCCACACCCTCTATGCTATGCCACTGCTAGGAAAAGAGGATAGATGGAAGAATGAAGAAAAAAAAAAATACTACCAAACAGGTACTGCAGAATATACTGAGGTCCAGACTTCCTGTCTCTGCAAGTTCAACTATTGTCTGTAAATTAAAAATATATATTTTACTCAAAACTGAACAATGTTCACCAACTACTGTGCCATCAATAACAATCTATCAACATGATGTTCATCTTCAAGTAACCAATGTTTTCAGCTCAAATAAAATTTTCCATTCATTTACTTATGCTATTTCACCACAGTATGAATATAGTTTTGTTCCTTGGATATATGAAAAGGCGATCCTAAACTTAGTTATGGGAACATTCCTCTGAGAATAAAACTAAGTTACCTACCCTAACAGTTGGTCCTGAATCTTCAGAACTGGATTATGACTAAGGAAACCTGTCAAACCAATTATTAGCAGTAATGTCTGAAGAATACTATAACATAACAGTAAAATCTCCTAGAAAAGAACATGCCAGTGTTTTAGTCTACTGTTGGCAGACATAATTCATCAGAATTTGTTTCGTTTAAAAAAAAAAAAAAACCTGGTTAAAATAGGTATTTTCCATATGTCCATAACTAGTGCTTAAAGTAATAAAATTGGCTTCCTAAGTATCTGTGTTACAGGTGAGGGGTGCCCAGGATTATACATACAAATATTTCGGTTATTGTGATGACATATCTGTAGTATCAACCAATTTATTGGCCTTTCAATTTACGAAGTCTTTCAACAAACATCTGCTGAAGGCATATTATTTGTGGAGGGTTTACAGAGATGTTTAAAATACTGTATCCACATCTCAAAGCAATCCCAATAGCCTTATGAATAAGCAAAGCATGAAAGTATCAATTGTTATGGAAGTTTAAGGACAGGCATCACAAGAGCACCTGTTTGTTTTGAAACTTCTTTGGTTTGAAAATTCTAAACAACAGTTTCTTCCTTTGTACTCTAATATTTACCATAACTACTGGTAATTTGGCAGTGAAACTCATGTGACTGGTTAGATTGTTTCTTGCTACCTTTTTCTTTTGCTCTTCTGTAGCTTTAATTATCCCTGGATCAGATTTCCAAGACTTCCCAAAATTGTAGAAAAGTGCAACACTATTGGCAAGGAATGGAAGATGGATAAATAAAAAGTTGAGATGTACTTAAAGTTAAGGAATCTAAAGAGCCAATGAGTTACTCTTATAGGTAAATTTATAATCCATAAAATGTTATCACACCAAAAAAAAGCCCACCTACCAATCAAAAAATACAAACGATTTATTACATGAAATAGATTATTTACATCTAGTATCCAAGCTGGTTTCTCTATTTTGTAAACATCAAATGAGATATTTTCCATATGCCCATAACTAAATGTAAAAAGTAAAAATGTGAATTCAGTTTTTTTTAAATATATTTTTATTGATTTCGGAGAGGAAGGGAGAGGGGAAAGATAGAAACATCAATGATGAGAGAGAATCACTGATCAAGAGAATCACTGATTGGCTGTCTCTTGTACACCTCCTACTGGGGATAGAGCCCGCAACCTGGGCATTTGTCCTTAACCAGAATCAAACCCAGGGCCCTTCAATCCACAAGCCAATGCTCTATCCACTAAGCCAAACCAGCTAAGGCAAAAATGTAAATTCTTTATAAATATTAAATCATGTAGGCTTATCTACTTTTTAAAATTCGGCAAGTACATAAAAACTTCATTGACTAGTTCATTTTTAAATGATTATTTCTTTTGACAAAAATGAAGGGACTTCTCATGTTCAAAGTTATTATCATACTAGTGGCCTGGTGCATGGATTCATGCACATTGAAAGGGAAATTGGTGCAGGTAAACCAGATTCAGGGTCAACAGGGCCCGAGAGGCAAGCTAACCCATGGCTGATTCTGAGAGGAATCAGGCTTCCTCCTCCTTCCTCTCTGAGCCCGGGGTGTGGGGAAACCAGATTCAGGGCTGACAGGGCTCCAGCAGCCACTTAACATACAGGTCGGAGTATCTGCCCCCTGGTGGTCACTGCACATGACAGCTACTGGTCCAACAGTTGAATAGTCACTTAGGCTTTTATATATATCTATACTAATAAGAGGGTAATATATTAAGTAGACGTGGAGACCTTCCAGGAGACCTCCCTGACGTCCTTCTAGACAAAACCATGGTGGCGGGGCCAAGGCAGAGGCAGTTAGGTGCAATCAGGCCAGGAGGGGAGAAGTTGGGGGTGATCAGGCCAGTGGTGGGGGCCAGTTGGGGATGAGCAGACTGGCAGTGGAGGGCAGTTGGGGGCAATCAGGCTGGCAGGCAGAGTGGTTAGGGGTGATCAGGCAGGCAGGCGAGTGGTTAGGAGCCAGTAGACCCAGATTGCAAGAGGGATGTCTGGCTGCTGGTTTAGGCCCCATCCTCTGGCAGCCAGACATCCCCCAAGGGATCCTAGATTGGAGAGGGTGCAGGCCTGGCGGAGGGACAACCCCCACCCCCTTGCATGAATTTTGTGCATTGGGCCACTATATATAGATATATATAATGTATATATATCTATATATCTATATTCATATAGAAATAGATTAGAATCTTTATATAGGTACCAAACTCTTGAGATATCACTCATATATTTAAAAGATAGCTTTCAAATTCTCTCCTTTACCCTTTTTGAAAACATTCAAGCTAACCTTAATTTTAGAAAAGATATTTATAAAGTTGCTTAAAACAGAAATAGTTTCTATGGTCATATTTTTCTATCTAATAAAAATATAAAAATGTACTAGGCATTTAAAAAGCACTAGGAAAAATAAGGCAATGTTTTTTGAGCAATTCTGAAACACAAAAATCTGGAATACTAAGATCCCATTTTCCATATTTTATGTAAGAAAGTATCATACAACAATTTTGTAAGACTTTTGGACATGATTTTATACATATATATTATACACACACACACACACACACACACACACACACACTGTTTACATTTCTTATGAAGCACAGAAAAAAGAATAGCTTTTTGAATAAAATAATCCTATATTTGTTTGGTAAATACCCAAACACTAAATAACCTCATAAAATATAGTAGTATATGAGAAAAAAAGGAAGAAGAGTCATTAATATCACCTGTCATATATATGTATATATAGATATAGATATAGATATATAGATATGATTTCTCTTTCTCCAGTCTCCTATTTCTCCCAACTTTTACTATCTTTATTTCAGAAAATGCACTGATACAGCCCAGCTGTTGTGGCTCAGTGGTTGAGTGCCAAGCCATGAACCAGGAGGTAGTGGTTTGATTCCCATTCAGGACACATGCCCATATTGCAGGCTTGATCCTCAGTACGGTGGATGGGGAGAGTGCGTGCAGGAGGCAGCGGATCAATGATTCCCTCGTTGGTGATATTTCTCTCTCTCCCTCTCTCTTCCTCTCTGAAATCAATAAAAGCAGAATTAAAAATGAAAAAAAAAATGTACTGGTACAGAGGAGAGTATATACAAAGTCAAATTTTCAGCTGTTCCAACACCTAAAAATCTCTTGAAAATGAAGTTGGGTAAATGTATGTGCAAAGAATGCTGAATCCTGGCATTTTTCAGAGATAGTACTTTTACTTATAATAACAGTTTCAAAATGTAAAATAAAAGACCATCTTTAATAACTTCAGAGAAATTTTTGCTCATGTGCACAAAAAATATTCAAGAATATTTATAACAATATTGTTGGTGGTGATTGGATACCTAAAGAAAGGTACTAACAAACTTAGAGGATATTAGAAGGAAACCAGGAAAGATATACAAAAAAAACTGAAGAAGTAGAAAAAATACTTAAGAGAAAAATACATAAGAGAATGGTGAAAATGATATTTTTGCACTCTCTTCATTTTTATATATATAATCATTCCAGGCTCTAAAGTTCTTCACATCTATCTTTAGTTTAAAAACTTAGTTGACCTTAAAACCTAATCATTTATTTTTAAACACAAAGAAATTCTAATAACCTACAGTCAATATTTCAAAATTGCTGCCCAGCCTCGGTGGCTCAGTTGTTGAGCATCAACCTATGAACCAGGAGGTCATGGTTCATTGATTCGCTGTCAGGGTATATGCCAGGGTTTCGAGCTGGATCCCTAGTAGGGTGCATGCAGGAGGCAGACGATGAATGATTCTCTCTCATCATTGATGTTTCTATCTCTCCCTTTCCTTCCTCTCTGAAATAAAAATAAATAAATAAGAAGTGGTGTCAACCACAGTTTAACTGTACTGGGTATGACAGTGAATTTCAGAGTTGATTATTATAAAAGAAGCATAGTCAATAAAATTTTCAAATAAATAAAAGGACAAGAAACAAAATAAAATCATGCATGAATCTAACATCCAGAGATAATCATTGCTAAAATTATATGTAGTCACTTTCAGTTCATATCCTTTGTGCATTTTAAAATTAGAATCATTCTGTAAACGTAATTTATAACATTTTTATTATATCCTAAGTATCAGCCCATATCAAGTCTATAAAAGCATTTTAATCTCATTCCATATCCAGTGTAACTGATAAAACTATCCTTATATTAAAGTTAGATATTTAGGTTTTCTCTATTATAATAGTACTATGATAAACATCCTAGTAAATAAATCTTTGATCTTAACCCTGATTACTTTATTATGAATAAATGATTAAGAGATCAAAGGATTTTAAAGCTCTTTGTACTGTTTGCCAAATTGCTTTAAAGGAAGATTTATGAATTTAAAGTTATTCTATATCAGGTCAAAGTACTAATTCTACACTATACTTGATAATCACCTACCTATGTGACTCTGAGCAAGACATACAATTTCTCAGAAACTCAATTTATCCATCAGTTAGAAATTGGCATTAAAATTTGTGCATTTTGCTTTTTCTAATCTTAAAAAATTGTTCTGAGAACCAAGTAAAATATATCAGGAAGCTATAAACCAAGAAGCACTGAGTAATATAAGATGTATAACGGGATGGTAAATATTTAATGAATAGTAAAAAAAATAAGAACTTGTTTATTAAAAGAAATAGGTTATATCAATATAAAATTCATTATCATCACAAAAACACTTAGTTGGATATATTATGAAAACCATAAAG